TTTACGCGCCTATAAACGTAAATACGCGTCCGGTGCCCCAGCGCGCAAAAATTACAATTGCGCTACACATGTTACATATCGCCGCGAACGTCGCAGTGAGAGAAATCATTTTAGGGCCATCAATCACTGATAACACTAAACTGATGAGCGGTAACAGCTTTTAAAGCGTCGCCTATGGCCAATTTTGGGTATTATCGTTTTTTGAGGTTTTGCGCGCGCACGCAATTTTAAGGCTTGACATGTTTGGTGTCTTTTTACCCGACGTGACCCCGTCTTTTATATTTTACCAAAAAATTGGGTAATAATAAATGTTTTATCATTTAATATAGGGGAAACTGTTTTGTTTTTTTAAATTTCGGTGATTTTTCCTTAATATAGTAAAAAAATAAAACCCCCAGTGGTGAATAAATACCACCAAAAGAAAGCTCTATCTGTCCCCAAAAAAGGGTTTCAGTACAGCGCTGCATGACGGAATAAGTGTCAGTCAAAGTACCGCAGCGCTGAATACTGAAAAATGGCCTGGATGGGAAGGGGGTTTAACACCGCGGATGTCAACTGGTTAAGGTAAGTCTTTACAGCAGGATTTGGAAGGGGCAAAAAAAAATCCTGACTTTAATGTCACTGTAAGGCAAGGTCCCTAAACAACCTAATGACACTAATGGGAGACATGTGTACCCCTCCTTACCTGGGTCCTTAAGACTCAGTAGCCATTCACAATGCTCCTGACAGCTAAAGAGCAGCATTTTGACTCTTGGTAAGAAAAGGTATTTTGTTATAGTCATAACAATAATATGATTTGGTAATACTGACATGTAACCTATTGATTTATGTTGAATGCTGATATTAATTGTGTCCATATAAATTGTAAAAGCTGTCCCTAAATTGAGTCTTGAGGGCAAGCCTTTATTTGTCTCTTACATTTACAACTTCATGTCCATCTAAGACTGTTTTACTGCTGTTTAATTTCACAGCAAAATGAACAGCATTTCCACCCTGTTTAGAGAAGTGGGAAAAATACAGATCTACTGGCAGGATCAACAGATAATAAAACTATATCACCTGGGGATTAAACAAAACTGTTATAACTTTGTTAATGGGAAAGATTGCATTATATAAGCCTTTTCAAAATGTTTGCCCAGTGTTCCACGTTACAAGCTCCCAGATATAGCTGTTCGGTATTGGTTAGAAATTCCTATTTCAATTGTGAGCACATCATCTGACCACTAGGAGTCACTGTTTTACACAAAGCTGTGAAAGCATTCTATCCAGAGCGTACAAAACCTTATTTTGAATTCTCCATTATTCAAATCTTGAGTTACATCATATATTTTTGCAATATTTATAGTTTTCCATGCAGTTATTGTAGCTATAACACACTGGTGTGAAAAATGGATTTTATCGTATAAGTCCCTTAGAACAGTGTTCCCCAACCCCCGGTCCGCGGATCAAATGGTACCGGGCCGCACAGTCTCAGTGCGGTCCGGTCCTGCAATATGGGGCAGTGCAGGGTCCCGGTGTTCGAACACCGCGGCCCCGCACTGCCGACGGGCTTCACAGTGAGGGGGCGGGTCCTGTGACTCACCTCCCCTCCCGGCCGCGTCCATAGTAACAGGAGGCGGGAGGGGAGGTGAGTCACAGGAGACGTGTGTGTGTCACACGCCCCGCCCCCTGCAGTGCACACATCGACATGGCTGCTATCCTGGAAGGGTGAGTCCGAGCGGGGGGAGGGGATCTCATACTTCATGTATTTAGACATGTGGATTAAAATGGGGAATATTACACTGTAATGTTCCCTATTATAATCTATTTCTCTGTTGTGTACTGCTATTTCATGTAATTAGACATGTGGATTATAATGGGGAATATTACACTGTAATGTTCCCTATTATAATCTATTTCTCTGATTAAATGATTACCGACAGTCCTCTGTTCTATCAAAGTTTGAGACTACGTTAGAATGTGTGACCAGTGATGTGGTCACACATTTTAACGTAATCTCGCCCAGTTTTTCGGTGGTGGTATAGGTGAAGAATTCCAACGCTTTCATTTTTTGGTGTAACTGTATTTTATTTTGAAGGCATGTTTAAATACAATTAAATTAAAATTATTAAATCAAAACAATCTAAAATATAAACAATCAACGTCCCCCCTCAGCGGGCCACGGTAAAATTATCAAACGTTGACCGGTCCGCGGCGATAAAAAGGTTGGGGAGCACTGCCTTAGAACATAGTTAAAGGATAATCAAACCATCTGGGTTTTTTGCATGTATTTACTGCTAGCAAGCAGTAGATATATGCAAAAACATTCAAAAAAAGGTTATAAAAAAAGGTTAAAACTTACCTGTGTCTCCGCCGCGCACTCCTGTTCTGAAGATCTGAAGATTCTTGGGCGGCCGCAAAGGATCATGGAGCAGGCGCATGCGCAGTAGAGATCATAGGCCTGGAGAAGAGGAGAGACAGGCAGTGCTCCGTCCATGACAGGTTACACAGCGGGGAGGCTTTCTTTGCTCTGTAACCTGTTACAAGCCGCTCTGAATGGAGAAAAAACTGACACCTTTTTTCTTCATAATACTAGGTGAGGCTCTGCCTATCCTGCCTCCGCTGACCGTACATCCCTGCTTTGTGCGGTCTGTAAAAATAAAGTTAGATGCAAACACCATACCTGTAGGTCATCTTTGTCCCCCATGCAGCCTTACTTAAATGCTCCCAATGTTGGCAACTGTACATCCTGGCTTATTTCCAGGACACAACAGTGGTGGGAGCTCACTCCTAGAAATGGAGAGATGTCTGCGCATGCCAACGGGCAGTCTCACAGCATGCGCGCTGACATGCGCGTGTTGCGGATTTTCGCGCTAAACGGGCTATTTAAGGATGTGACATTCCAACCTCTAGTGCTGACTGGTCTTCAGCTGTTTCCTGTTCCTGTAACCGGAGCCCAGCATCCTGACTCTGATCTCCTGGTGTTTGACCTGGATTGGCTATCTATTCTGCTGCTCTTCTTTGGATCCCCTTGACCATGGCTTGTTTTCTGACTACGCTCCTTTCTACTGCTCTGTACCTTGCTGCCTGCCTGTCCTGGTACCTCACTGCTCGACTGTTACAGATCCAGCTTGTTTTGGACTTCGCTGCTACCGGCACTCATGCCTCTCCTGCACTAGCACCTATTCCACCTCCAGGGGTTCTTGGTCTTGAGCTGCAAGAGAAGCCTTCCTCGTCAACTCAGACTCCTATGTGATAGCAATAACAATAAGTGTAAAAAAATAATAAAAGTGACATATAAATAAAGTTTTTTTTTTAAAACAAAATTTTTAAGTCCCCCCACCCCCACATATACACACATATAAACGTAAATATGCGTTCGATGCGCCAGCGTGCGAAAATGACAATTGTGCTACACATGTTGCATATTGTCGCGAACGTCGCAGTGAGAGCAATCATTCTAGGGCCGTCAATCACTGATAGCACTAAACGGATGAGCAGTAAAAGCTTTTAAAGTGTCGCCTTTGGCCAATTTTGGGTATTGTAGTTTTTTGAGGTTTCCAGCGCGTGCGCAATTTTGAGGCTTGACGAGGCATCACGTGAGGCAACAGGGATCGGAGTGAAACTGTGAGTGAGGGAAGCTGGGACAGGGCTGGCTTTAAATCTATTGCTATAGTGTACTGGACGTGTGTAATGTATATGTAGTACATATATACAGCACACACCTCCACTACACTCCAGCAATAGATTTCCAATTCTTCCATGCTAACATGAATAGGTTAATGATCCATAGTACATAACATGTATTTGTACTATGGATCATTTAAAGTCACTTGGCCCTTTAAGAAAAAGTATCGGTAATTGGTATCGGCAAGTACATGAGGGGAAGTACTTGTACTTGGTCCTTAAAAAGTGGTATCGGGACATCCCTAGTCAGGTTGTAACATGTATAGTAACACTTATTTTCAGTTATCTACCAAAACGTGTTTTAGATTTCCCTTTTCTAGTCGCTGTCAACTGAGTACTATAGAAAATCTTAAGTATTTTCAAATTTTTAGGTCCTTCTTTTAGTTTCTAAAAAAATGGATAATGCCAAAATAATTTCAAGTTTAGTTCATATATATATATTTTTTAAAGTATATTACTACACCTTTTATTTTGCAGTCTGCAGTAGAAAACAATGCCTCACCATTTTAGCATAATTACATGACATTATATCAAACATGTTGTCATCAAGCCTTTCATAGTACTTCAATGCAAGCTGTCCCCACTCTTGATCTGAGGCATGCCTGTCTTTACACTGTAAAGTGAAAACTGCAGACAAGCTGATGTGAACAAATTGTTTACCCTTGCATGCCTCTGTGGTGACTGCTCTCAAAGCAGAACAAAAGCAGAATGTTATTTTTTTTTTTTTATAATTCTTGTTTTTTATTGAGCAGTGC